ATATAATATATATATATAAATATATATATATATAATATAGATAATATTATATATATATATATATATATATATATATATATATATATATATATATATATATATATATATATATATATATATATATATATATATATAATATAGAAAATATTATATATTTTCTATATATATATATATATATATATATATATATATATATATATATATATATATATATATATATATATATATATATATATAGAAAATATTATATATATATATATATTAAATATGTATAAAATAAAATAAAATATTTAGAAAAATAAAATATATTCAAGAAAATATTTTCAGTGTGAATAAAATAAGAAATAAAAATAAAAGTATTATTTACATTATTTTCAAGTTTTAATAAATAATATAAAGTATTTAAATTGTTTTTATGTTAGAAAAATCAAAATAAAATACTTAATAAATGTAAAAGAAATGTGAAAATATTTTAAAGCATTTTTATATTTGGGGATAAAATAATAAAATCAGAAATGAAATAAAAATGCAAAAATAACAAAATATAAAGAAATTGGGTCAGGGGGTGCAAAAAGAAAAGAGGAGGGTGTCAAAAGTGAGAACAAATAGGCTCAGCCCATTTCCACTTCATCTTCTTCCTTGTGACAAAAACGCGTGTTTGCCCTGTTTAAATGCTAACTCCTATATTTGTGATCTTTTGCCAAAACTCAAAACATGAAACTTGTAGAGCATCAAACCACGATTCTAACCATATAAAAAACTTAATCTAACTCTCAAAGACCAGAGAGAATTTCTCTGGCCCTAAAATCTGACCTAGTTTTTTCAGCATGTTCATGGATAAAATTCTCTTAGCATGCTTAATATAAATGAAAACTGAGCATATGTACAACTTCATGGCATTGAATACTACATTTTTCATTCACAAACCTAAGGCTAAATGTTCCTAAATAGAGAGATAGAAGTTTGAGAAATACCCGTTTCAGTTGGATTCGAGTTGGACAATGCAGCAACTTTCAGTGAAGCCTGAGGTTCTTTTGAGCTTGCTTGATGTTCCTTGGACCTTTCCCAATGCTTAGTTTGTTTTGAAATGGTCTGAATCTCTCTATAAAACTCAACTTGCAAAGCTTCAAAACAGAAATGGTGAACACTGTAAATGGAGTTACAGTTGGCAATGGAGGTTTGGGATAGCTTGAGTGAGTTGAATGGAAGGTATTGGAACAATTTACAAGCAAAACGCACTAGTGGATGTGAAAATGGAAGTGATTCTGCAGGGCCTGCCCTGTTTTGCAAGAAAATGTGATTTTTGTGTACAAGGGTGTTTGAGGGATGAATGGCTCGTGTTTCTGGATCACAGGGATGTGCAAAACTTGTTTGAAATGTTGGCAAGAGTTGATTATATCCGATGTGTGTGTTCTTGACTTTTTGCATAATTACTTGGTTTTGAAGTAAAAGTGAGAGTTGACAATGTTACGGTTGTATTGGCTTATACCCTAGCTGCACAAAGTGGTTGAGCTTTGCCTGACAATAGGGAGCCTTGTTTGCAGCAAAGGGCTTGGTGTATGGCTCAAGAAATGGAATTTGACATAAAGCAAGCTTTATGTAAATGGAAGTGTTATCTTTATGCCCAAAATGGATTTATTCATTGTGCCAAGCTCCATTGATCAGAATAATACCAATATCCAATGTATTTGCAATTAATTTTTGAGTGTGAATTGGTTTAGAGACCTGTAAACAAGTACAAAGCTAGTTTGGACAGATTTTGCAACTTGTATGAACATGTATTGGCCATGGTTACAAAGTGAGTTTTTGCCAACTTTAAGCATTCGATTATCCCTAACCACAAATGTGTTTGGGGAGTTCTGGGACAATTTGGAAAGCTTGCAACATGTACTATAATCCATCTTTGAAATGCAACTTGAGATTCTAAGTGGAACTATGTGAAAAATGGCCAAGAAGATGGGTCAAAATCCTGCCCAAACTAGGGCAAAATTTCTCTAAGTTAAAAGTTTTAGGGACCCTTGTTCCAAAAATCATAACTTGAGATCCAAGCTTCTTTTGAGAAAAATTTGTGAATAAAAGTTGTAGACTTTGTGAGGGACTACAACTTTCATGTTGTAAGTTTTGTCTGAATCCATTTTCATCATGGTGAAAATGTGGGTCAAAGTTAGGAAAAATTAAGAAAATTTCATAACTTAGAAAATTTCTAAGATGAAATTTTTCAATTTCAAACCCTAATTTGCAATTTTGGGTTTCTTGATGAACAAGTTTCATATTTTGACATATTTTGATGAAAAATGACCCTTGGCACTTGATTTTGACCAAAAAGTCAAAGTTTGACTTTTCAGTGTACAGTCAAATTTTGATCAGTTGACTAAAAAATTCATCTGTCAATCTAATGCATTTGAGATCTTTTGAACTTGTTGAATAGGTCAAGATAATGTCATTGAGTCCATGGTTGAGCTTAATTTGCCATTGTCTAGGTCAAACAGTCAAAAATTGCATTTGTACAGTCAAAACCCTAAAAATGACCATTTTGCCCTTTTGGTGATCTGATCAAATTTCTTGTAGAATTGTGGTCCAAACTTGATCAAATGGTTCATATGAGTTCATAATATTGACGTGGGTCAAAATTCATGAGGTTTGACTATAAATTGGTCACTGTTGACTTTTTCCCAATACAGCTGATTTCTAGGTCAATTGTCCAATTGATTGGGCCAAAATTTGATTCAATGCTTGAAACTTGGTATGGGTAAAATTATGAGTCCAACATGAAGTATGAAAGTCAATTTGGGCATTGAAGGTCCAAAAATCCCTGTGCAAACTCAAACCCTAATTTAGGTCAACAGTGCAAGGAGATGTATTGAGCAGAGCAAACCCTAGCTTGATCTTGAGTTCCAAGAGCCTTGTGATGAGAAATGTTGATAAAATGAGAGGGCAAATTTTGGGGTACAACAGTTGCCCCTGTTCAATCTTCTTGAACCTGAAGAGTTAGATTGGCAAGTTTTGCCTTTCGTGACTCGAAGGTAAAAGAGGATTGGACACTAGAGTGCCCGTAAATTTGCACTCGTCAAAAATGTATCTGAGGGAATGGGCTTAAAGATGCCATTTGGAGATAGTAGAATCTTGTTGGAGATGGGCTTAAAGATGCCATCTAAGATTTATTTGTTGAAGATCAGTAGAATGAACATCAGAATGGTATTCGTATTTGGAACGTATCTGAGTTGTATCTGGAGACTTGGTTTTATATGAGCAAAGGAATAATGTCCGTGTCTGGAGTATATCCGAGCTGTAACTGTTTTTGAACTTTGAATGAATATCAGAATGACTGTCGTGTCTGGAGTGTATCTGTATTGTGAATGGGTAATAGAGAAACATCTGTATATGGAGCAACTGTGTGCTGGGGATAAGTTCTGAATGAGTGACAGAATGGCAACCGTGTCTGGAGCGTATCTGGACTGTATCTGAAATTGAGATCTGTATGAGTAGCAGAATGACTTCCGTGTCTGGAGTGTATCTGAGATTCAGATCTGTATGAGTAGCAGAATGACTTCCGTGTCTAGAGTGTATCTGAAACTGTAACAGGGATCTGAATAAGTGACAGAATGACTTCCGTGACAACTGCACTGGGGAGAATCA